ACACCCTAATCCAAAAGTGAAACAATAACTAGACGTGCTTTTCATATCACCCGTTGACCCGCCCCAATCACTATCAGAATATCCACAGAGTTTGAAATTCTGACTTTTGCTAAATTTGATGCCATACGTTAGAGTTCCTTTTAGATACCTAACTACTCTTTTGGCGGCCATCATGTGCAACTCACTTGCACAATTTAAAAACCTAGATAAAACACTCACAGGAAACAAGATGTCAGGCCTTGTTGTTGTGAGATACATCAAGCATCCAACTAAGCTTTGATATACTCCTTCATCAACTAGTCATCATCCTTTGTTAGATCTTCTTTTTTATTCATTGGAGTACTCACACTCTTGCATTCTTCCATTCTAAATCTTTTTAGAATCTCCTTCATATATTTCTTTTGACAAACGAAAACTTCATTTTGAGTTTGCTTGATCTCCATTCCCAGAAAATAAGTCATCTCGCCAAGATCAGTCATCTCAAAGACTTTCATCATTTCCTCCTTGAATTCTTCAATCATTCCTGTATTATTTCCTTTCTCAAGTAAATCATCAACATACAAAGAAATAATAATAATGTTAGAGGCAACTTTCTTGACATAAAGAGTCGATTCACTTAAGCTTTTTTCAAAGCCTAAGTCTAGCAAATAATTATCCATTCGGCTGTACCAAGCTCTAGGAGCTTGCTTTAGTCCGTATAGAGCTTTCTTTAACAGATAAACCATATCTTCATGTACTGGTACGATGAACCCTTTTGGCTGCTCAACATATATTTCTTCATGTAGTAGACCATTCAAGAAAGCAAACTTCACAACCATTTGAAAAATCTTCCAATTTTTCTATGCTGCAATAGCCAAAAGCATCCGAATTGTATCCAATCTGGCTACTGGGGAAATTTTTTTTAGAAAAATCTACTCCCTAAACTTGTGCATAGCCTTTCACCACCAATCTAGCTTTGTGATTGTTTACCGAATCATCTGGATTTAACTTTGTTCGAAAAATCCATTCAACTCCAATTACTTTTCTATCTTGTGGTCTTTCCATGAGCTTTCAAGTTTGGTTCTTTTCTATCATGGTCAGCTCTTCCTTTATTGTATTTGTCCAATTTTGATCCATTTTTTCTTCCTCATATCCTGCAGGTTCAAAAACAGTGACATTGCATCTCTCATAATTATCAGAGAGTGACCTTGTTCCCCTAATAGGTTGATCATCCACCATGTCATCATAATCAAGTTGTGAATTATGGTTTTTAACTCGAGACTCCTCATTCCATTCCCATTGCTCATATTCAAGGAATTGAACGTCTCGACTTAGCATAATCTTGTTTGATTGAGGTTCAAAGATCCTATAAGCTTTAGAAAATTAGCTATAGCCAATGAAGATTCCCAAATCTACCTTCTTATATAGCTTGTCTCTCTTAACCTATGGAACATAAGAAAAACATAGACATATGAATATCTTGAAGTTTTTCAAAATAGGTTTGACACCATACCATGCCTCAAATGGAGTCTTTCCTTCCACTGCCTGCGTAGGCAGTCTATTCAGCAAGAAAACAACAGTGTTTGCTACTTCAGCCCAAAACTTCTTTGGTAGATTCTTCTCATGAAACAAGCATCTCAACATCTCTATGATTGTTCTATTTTTTCTCTCACTCACTCCATTTTGCTGTGGAGAATAAGGGACACTGAGCTGGTGCTCAATTCTAGCTTCTTCACAAAAAGAATTGAACATATCCGAGGTATATTCAATTCCATTATCTGACCTAATGACCTGAATCTGGCAGCCACTCTGATTTTCTATCCAAGCTTTGAACATCATGAAAATTCCAGCAACTTTAAACTTAAACTTCATTAAACAAATCCAACACATTCTTGTTAGATCATCAATGAAGATAATATAATACCTGCTGCCATTGAGTGACAGAGTTCTTTGTGGACCCCAAACATCGATGTGAATGAGTTGCAACTTTTCTGTAGCTCTCCAGGTGGAACTTTTAAATGTAAGTCTAGTATGCTTGCCAAGCACACAAGCCTTACAACTTGAGGGGTTCTCCTCCAAGTTTGATAAACCATTTACCATTTTGCTCCTTTGCATAAACAATAAAGCTTTGTGATGAAAGTACCCCAACCTTTTGTGCCTCGTTTCCGCTACAGTGATCTCGCTTGGAAAAGCTATGTGTTCCTCGTTCAATGGATTCAAGGAAAAACATTTTCCCTGCATTTTAATTCTGAATATTTCCTGACCACTAGGCTCACTGATCAGGCACGCTTTATCTTCAAATAATAATTTGAATCCATTTTCTAGGAGTTGCCAACACTTAATAAATTCTGATCACTTTCAGGAACAAATAAAACTTCATAAATAAGTTTTGTACCTTTTTAACTTTCAATTGCTACGGTCCCCTTTCCTTTTGCTGGGAGGTATTCTCCATTTTCGATCCTGACTCTTGATTTAACGTATCTATCAAGTTCTGTGAAAAACTTTTCATCACTAGTCATGTGGTTCATACAACGACAATCAACAAGCCAACTTTCGCTTGAATTTTTGCTTGTGAAATAGGTGGCCACAAATACTTGCTCATCTTCTTGTTGGTCTACAATTTGTACATCATTTGGTTGTTGTAATCCCTACTCTTTGCAGATAATCTCAGCATGACCGAGCTTGTGACACTTTCTGCATTTCATATTAGGTTTTCTCCAACACTTGAAGTGTGGATGATTTTTTCCTCCCACAAAGTTGTCAGGGAGGATATTTTCCTTCTCTGTTGTTGCTAGTTGCAGCAACACCATTTCTCGATGTTGTTGCTTCGTAGTTTCTATGATTCCCTTTATTTCCTTTTTCTTTGTTTCCCCTGGCACTTGAACCGAACTGCAACTTGGCTTACAAGGCTCCCTTAATGAATCCCTCATGCCTCATCATTCTTCGTTGTTCTTGTGCCTGCAGTGCACTCAATAACTCTACCAAGCTAAGCTTCGACAAATATTTAGTATTTTCGAATGAAGCAATAGTTGCCTCATATCTCTCATGTAAAGTTACAAGTATCTTTTGAACTATTCTATTATCAGTAAGTTAATTTCCAAGTATCCTTACCTTATTGACAATCCCAAGCAACCTGTCAGAATAATCCTTAATGTTTTCAGATTCCTTCAGACGCTGCATCTTGAATTCTCTAACCAAGTTTAGTACTTTCATTCCTCTAATTCTTTCATCTCCCTCGTACTCTTTTTTGAGGAAATCCCAAATTGCTTTGGCTGAGTAACATGTCATTATTCTATTGAAAATGGTGGCAGAAATTGCAGCAAAGAGACAAGATTTAGCTTTGGATTTTCCTGTCTTCTTTTCCTTATAGGTTCTAATCTTAGCCATAGTTGGATTCCATGGCAGAGGATGCACTTCACAGTCTTCTTCGAAAGCCTCCCACAAATCACAAGCCTCCAAATAAACTTGCATTTTCACTGCCCAGGCTTGATAGTTTTCTCCATCGAAAACGGATGGAGCCATAGCAGAAAAAGAGCCTGCATTCTTCATTATTTTAATGGTGTTTTGCAGAGAATATTTTTTGGATAAACACTCAGAAAAGAACCTCACAAGTCTCATACAAATCCCTTAAGAAGTAGGGCTCTGATACCAATGTTATTAATAAACTGAAACAACAAGATGAATTGAAATCTGAAGAATAATTTTTATTGAACTTCAAGCTGATTAAATAAGTAGAGGGCCAGCACAACTAACTCAGAAAACTAATCTGAGTTATTATCCTATTAACTAGTTAAAATAGGAACACCTATAACTAGTTAATAGGATAATGACTAGAAAACTAATCTCCTAATAATCAGCTGAAGTCTCTGACCCATTCAAAGCAGATCCTGAGACACGTAACAACAATTTTCCTTTACATTATTAATGTTCGTTACTACCTAATCTTGTATGCAAGATAATATAGTGTTTTAGTTTTAATGACTGATAGGTTTTAAGTATTATTTTATAAATTATGTGATATTAAATTCTTGCATGAGGCGTGGATAATTTTACTTATTGCAAATCAAACAAGTTCTGTTTTCAAAAGGAAAGGAAAAAGTTACTGAGGAGAAAAGTGTGAAACCAAGTCCTTATCATACAAGGGGAACCACTCTGGGTGATACGATGAAGTCTAGCAAAACTTAAACTATGGAAAACTAGAGAAAAAGGAAACATTCTATTATTGATGAGGACGAGGTTCCTAACGTGAATCTGGTTGACAGTTCTAAAGATAAGGACGAAAGTGAGACAGTGTATGCAGTTATTGTTGTTGTAGTTAAGAAGAGAAGAGGGGAGGCACTAAAGAAAAAGCCTACCAAAAACCAAAGACAATAAAGCCTAAAGCACAAAAGAAACTGTGAAGAGGAAGAGGAAGGAATCCTCTCCAGATCTTTTTGATGAGTCAGATTCTAAGTCTAAGAAGGGACCATGTTCATGTGGAAGGAAAAGTAAGGATGATAAGGAATTTTCAAATGATAAAAGGATCGAGATCCTGAGAACTCCGAAAGGTCTCAATGGAAGTGTGTTTGATCTTGAAATAAAGATAAAGCCAGGGATAAGAATCTTGGTTGATGTTGTAATGATACAAAGCTGGACACATTTTTTTTTACAGTACATATGCCTGTACTGCATGAATCATAAGTGAGGAAATTCCTCTACATGATGGTATTTACTGAAGATTGGAGCCTAAATACTTAACAAAGCACGTATGTTGTGCACGTTGCCACACTACCTTTAAATTAGGATTTCAGTTTATACAGAGTTTATTTAGGAGTCAAGGAGGATTGCTCACGTAACTTAATATGCTCCTATTTCCTAGGAGTTAGCTTTGCACAATCTGTTTTGTTTGATGTGTATATAAACTCCATTGGAGTCTCATTAATGAATATACTACTTTCAATCTACTTCTCTGAACTTATATGTTATCAGAGCCGAAACACTCTAACGAGTACGCCGATCAAAAATACAATTTTTCTGCACTAATGGCCCTTTCCACCCCAGTTATCAATGCCAATATTGCCCCTATCCTCAAACACTTAGTTCTGTTTAACCCATCATCTCAGTTGCCCATTAAGCTGTGTGGCAACCATAACTTCACCATTTGGAAGGCTCAAATTGCCATGCTACTTCATGGCCATGACCTCTATGGTCATCTTGACGGGACCAAATTGTCCCCTCCCGAAACAGTCATCATTGACGGCCTTTTGACAGCTAACCCCGAATACAAGGATTGGTTTCGTCAAGACAAACTCATCCAAAATGCTCTCATGGCCTCTGTTGATGCCAATATCGCTTCCATTGTAGCTTCTGCGGCCAATTCTAAAGCTGCGTGGGATCAACTTCACACCTCATTTGTGAACAAATCGCAAACTCGCATCTTCACCCTCCGTCACCATCTCAGTCGGGTAAGCAAAGACACCAAATCAATTGCTGAATATATGCGAGAGATTCACTCTCACTCTCATGAAATCGCCACAGCAGGTTCACCTGTCAATAATGAAGAACTTGTGATGAAAATATTGAGTGGACTTGGTCCTAAATTTCGTGAGATCTCCGCTGCCATCCGGGCACGTGACTTACCCATTAGCTACGCTGAACTTTTCGATAAGCTTTTTGATCATGAATTGTTCCTCAAACATGAAGACCTCAAGAGGACCACCACCCATGTCACATCATTTGTAGCTCAGCGTGTCACAAATACTTCATCGGCCCAACGCAACAACCATCACCGCCAACCCACCAATAACAATGGGCGTCCCCCAAACACACCACATAATCAGTGCACCGCTTTCCAACATCCAAACGATTACTCTCAAGGGGGTAACTTTCCACACTAATCCTCACGGATTCGTTGTCAACTCTGTGACAAATTTGGCCATACAACAAATGTTTGCCGCTCTCGGTCCCATAACCACTATGAATCAAAGGAAAATTTTATTGCGCACATGATGCCAAATGACCCCTGGATTGTCGATTCAGGTGCATCTCACCATATTGCAGCCGACACCAACTACCTCCACAATGTACAGGACTTCAAAGGGGCAGAGGAAGTGACCTTGGGTATTGGTAATGTGATTCCAATCACGTAAATTGGTAATACTCATTTAAATACATCACATACTACCTTCAAACTCTGTAATATTTTGTGTGCTCCTGCCATCAAACGCAAGCTTATTTCAGTTAATCAGTTTTGCAAAGACAATCTAACCTCAATTAAGTTTTTTCCTTTTACCTTTCTTGTGAAGGATCTGACTACGGGAACTCCTCTTATATGCGGCCCGAGTAAAGCTGGACTATATGAATGGCCGTCCCTGTCTCGACCAAACATCAACATCGCTACTGCTGGACCTTCCTTACATCTATGGCATTGCAGATTGGGCCACCCCCATTCTCGCATTTTATTTTCCATTTTAAACAGTTCTCGTCTTTCATATTCTTCCAAAGACAAGATCACTACTTGTAATTCTTGCTGTTGCAATAAAGTACACATATTTCCCTTTTATTCCACCACTTTGTCCAGTAATTGTCCATTAGAAATTATCTATAGTGATCTGTGGGGACCCTCCCCGGTTCTCTCTATTGACAAAAAAAGATATTATTGTTTGTTTGTTGATCAGCAGACCAAATACATTTGGTTGTACACAATGAAAAACAAACATGAAGTTCAGAATTTTTTTCAAAGTTTACATCCTGTGCTTGAAAAACACTTTGGTCACAAAATACTCACACTTTACACTGATAGAGGAAGAGAATATCAAGTCCTAGAACCATACCTTAATTCCAATGGCATACAATACCTTGTCTCTCCCCCTCATACTCCTCAAAGGGTGGCATTGACTGAACGACCTCATCGACACCTTGTCGAGACTGCCAAACGTTGCTTCATCAAGCAAGCCTACCATCAAAATTTTTGGCCTTTGCCTGCCATCATGCCGCCTTTCTCATAAATCGACTCCCAACCTCCACTCTTAATCACAAGTCTCCTTTTGAAATTATTTTCAATAAACTGCCAAATTATGAATCCCTTCGTATATTTGGCTGTTTATGCTATCCATGGCTACGACCATATGCCCAAAACAAATTAGAGTCGTATTCCAGACCTTGTGTCTACCTCGGTTTTTCTGTCACTCGTCATTGCCATCAGTGTTTTAACCCCAAAAGCTCCAAAGTTTTCCTCTCACGGGATGTAAAATTTGTAGAGGATATTTTTCCATTTGATAATATGTTTTCTACCTTAAAACAAAACTTTTCATATTTGACTTGGGAGCGTACTTCCAATTTTACTAATACTGATATGGACAATACTTCAAATCCTACTCATCTCCAGCTGTTGCCCACCACTATTCCGTTGATGCGAGACACATGCCACGATTTATGCTCACTTCGTACCGCACAAAGGACCACCCCACAGTCGGATCACTTCATCACTAACACACCAGGTAATCTTCCAACTACTTCTCCTGATATACCTCAGCAATCCTCTGTTGTTAATAGCCCGCCACCTCAATTCATATTTCAAAGCCTGCCCCCTTCTCTCTCTACTCGTCCTCTCCCCTTACATGGCCGACCACCCATTACTCATGTTTATCGGTGTCGCCCAACCTCATCACCCAATATACCGACACAAGCACCCATAGTTCAGGTTCCCCACATAGAGCAAAATCATGTAGTAACAAGGTCTCAAAACAACATCATCAAGCGACGCAAAATTCTTGACTATACTGCCCAAATAACCCCGCATGTACCTCCTACCCCTGTAACTTACAAACAAGCACACAAATTTTCATATTGGAGAGATGCTATGCAGGTTGAATTTGATGCGTTAATGAAGAACCAGACTTGGGAGTTGGTTCCACCCGATCACACCCACAATGTTGTTCTATGTAAGTGGTTGTTCCGAATTAAGACTAAGGCTGATGGATCTGTTGACAGGTACAAAGCGCGTTTGGTTGCCAAGGGGTTCACTCAAAGGCCCGGGGTTGATTTTCATAAGACATACAGTCCAGTGGTCAAACCCACCACAATTCGTACCGTGTTCACCCTTGCTGTACAACGAAATTGGGCCTTACATCAACTTGATGTCAATAATACTTTTCTACAAGGGAAGCTTAATGAAAATGTATACATGTCTCAACCCCCTGGCTATGAAGATTCGGCACATTCTGACTATGTTTGCCATCTCAAAAAGGCAATCTACGGACTGCGCCAAGCTCCTAAAGCTTGGTATGATGCGCTCACCAATTCTTTGGTCCAAATGGGATTCCACATGTCTGAGTCTGATAATTCTCTGTTCGTTCTTCATAATTTAGGAGTAACTATTTACGTTCTAATTTATGTGGACGATATCATTCTTACTGGCAGCAATGAAGTACTCCTTCAGCAAGTAGTTACCTCTCTTTCAAAAACATTTTCTCTTAAGTATCTTGGTTTACTGCACTATTTCTTGGGCATTGAGGTTCATAGGGATGATGATGGCTTGTTTCTTAGTCAATCTAAATATATACAAGAGGTGCTACATGACACTAAGATGCAAGACTGCAAATGAATCCACTCACCAATGAATACATCGACACCACTACTGGTAGACGACGGAGCTCCTAAAACTGATGGCACAGAGTATAGAAGTGTACTTTGAAAGCTCCAGTACCTTTCACTTACCTGACCTGACATCACCTATGCAGTAAACAAGCTTACTCAGTTCAATACCTCTCCCTCTGTGACTCACTGGCAAGCAGTTAAACGGCTACTTCGGTATCTTAAAGAAACATCCCAGTATGGTGTCCATATTTCCCCACAGCAGTCCACCAATCTTTTCGCTTATGCTGATGTGGATTGGGCGGGTGATATTAATGATCGCCGCTCAATATCAGGTTACATTATCTTTGTCGGCACAATACCAATTTTTTGGTGCTCTCGTAAGGAACCGACTATCTCTTGCTCCTCCACTGAAGCAGAATATAGGGCAGTTGCTTTTGCGTTGTCTGAAACAAACTGGATCACTCACTTTCTCAAGGATCTACATATGCCGCTCTCTGATGTTCCCACAATACTTTGCGATAACCTTGGGGTCACCTACATAGCTGAAAACCCAGTTCATCATACAAAAATGAAGAACCTCGAGGTTGATTTTCACTTTGTTCGCAACCAAGTTCGCAATGGCCTAGTTCAAGTCTCACCCGTTCACTCCGCTGATTAAATTGCAGATCCACTCACCAAACCATTGTCTAAAACAGCCTTCCAGCGCATGCTTCCCAAGTTACGTGTTGTCTCTTAACACATACCTTGGGGGGGGGGGGGTAACAGAGCACGTATGTTGTGCACGTTACCACACTACCTTTAAATTAGGATTTCAGTTTATTTACAGTTTATTTAGGAGTCAAGTAGGATTGCTCACGTAACTTAATATGCTCCTATTTCCTAGGAGTAATTCTGCAAGTGTCAAGGGAAGGAATTCAAATAGTTGTTGGAAAGTCCCCATAAAAGAAATTTGTTCACAAAATTAGCAAACTTCTCAATCAAAGTTATGAAGGTATGCCTAAGAAGTATCTCAAAAATAAGTATCAACTGTTCTTTGAGTTTATCAATAAGGTGGAAAGAGAATTGTTTCCTCTAATGCGGACTTGTTCCTTATTAAGGACTTGCACAATTGAGTTAATCAATATCCCTGCCATCATGTTGGAGAATATGCAGAAGACCATGTTTGTTAAATATGGCAAACATGTCATGTGTTATGGGTATTTGCTAACAAAGGTGTTCAAACACATTGAAATTCCCTTTGAACATGGAGTAAGAGGCACTGTGAAGCAAACTATATCTTTGAACACTCTTATTGAGTGTGAAAGTGTTAAATGGAAGGCAGGGAATAGGAGAAAGGTGTCTGAACTATTGATTGAACATTAGCAACTCAAACATAAGTTGGAATCCATGGTAGTAACACTAACCAACAGGAATGCAGAGGTTGCTTGCCTGCATGTTCAGGTGCAATTAGAAAAAATAGAGGGACTAGGTGGAGAAGAACTTGCTACCTTGAATTTTCAAAATGAATTCATGGAAACCAAAATGTTGAGCTCAATGAGCGAATTCTCAAGAACCATGCTGAGGTTTATGCTCTCTTATCCCTACTCTTTCAAACCCCCTCTTCCAAACCTCCTTCCTCATAAGTTCCAATATAAGTCCCTTCATTTCTCTTTTGTTCATTGCAACTCAATGGGAATTGTCCCCGATCTTGTTTGTAGTGTTAATTGGAATGTTTTGTATGTTGATGTTTTTTATTAATGAAAATGACCTTGTTTTTACTGACTTGTCTCATTAATTTATCCATCTTTTACTTATACTTAGTGTTGTCCAAGCGGCCATGAATTTTCTTGAACTACTTTTTTGTTAATTTGGTTTACTGTTTTAACTCTTTTTATGATGTCAAAAGGGGGAAAATTGTTAAGGATATAAGATTTGTTAGTAGTTTCTTGAAGAGGGCATAGTCACAATGATATGGGGAGCTAATAAAAAAGGGAAGAAGTTGAGTAAGTTTGTCATCATTAAAAAGGGAGAAAATGTATTTTGAGCTAACTCAGAAGTTTTGATGATTTAACAAACTTTGGAATCTAATAGATAACCCGATCGTAGGTGATACTAAGAGTTATATTACTTGAAAAGGACAATTGTCTATAAGTTGCAACAATGTCACTGTTGTGGTTGGTGCGCGTCTATTTTCAAAGCAACAGTACTCTCAGCCAATTGCATTGCTTCAAGAATTTTGTGTCTGTCTTATATAAGTATCTTCAGCAAGGACACAACATAGTTTTTGTATCCTAAAATTCACAGAAGAAAACACCATTCTTGAGGGAAATATATCTCAAAGAATAACACAGGGACCTGATAGAGTTATCTTTGTTCTGAGTTGTTATTAGGCTTCATATTTCTTTGTTTATTCTTGTATGATCTATTCCTAAGTTATAAAGGAATTAGTTTAGTTTCAATCTATCTTCATCATTTTGGATCATAGCTAGAGTCAGCTATGTATGTCTCTTAAATTCTAGATCGACTAGAGTTAGTTGGTCTAGTGAGCAATAGAGTTATTGCTCTGAATTGA